GATGTAAGTGGGCCTGGCTGGCAATGTCATATATGACGTCTCTCACATTTTTGTCTTTGTTCCTCCGTAGAAAATCCTCTTGTGAAACACCATGCTATGTAAGAAAATGCACATTAGCAATGTAAAAGTAAACTTAAAACTAATTTGTAATCTCTTTGTAATAAGATACATATAATATAATGCTGATTTTGTGCTTTTAAAAAGGTATGAAATATAATAGGGTGAGAGAGAGAGAGAGAGTGTGTGTGTGTGTGTGTCTAACAGGGGCAGATTAATAAAGAAAATCTAGCCTTACTTTGCTTAACTGAATATTATATCCCTATCAGGGACCGTAAATTTGAAAAGGGGCTTTGATTCTGTAGGAAGGTGCAGTGTTAGGAAAGAGACAAATGGCAATTATACCTCAAAGAAGAATCTTTTCTATGGTGAAAAAATGTGAACTATTTCACTAGAGATTATTAAGTAAGCAAAGCAGGAGTGGCATTCACTTCCTAAATAACATGTCCTTGGAAACTCTATGAACGTTGATAAATGTCAATAGTTATAGAGGGGCTTCAGGCCTTTTGTTCATAGGGTCACTATGAGTCATGCTCAACTTGAAGGCAATCAACAACAACATGCCTGTGCTTATCTTACTGGGTAATGCAACACTGATGGAGAGACAGATTTGGAGTAATATGTACTAAAGATGTTAACAAGGGCTATAGGCAAAAAAAAAATACTCAAAAAGCCAAACATACAGGAAGTTTAAAAGAACAGACAATATTGAATTTCATTTAAGATACACACAGGAAAATATCTGAATTCTAATAAACAAAATTGTTTTTAATAGAATACTTCCTCCTTAAGAATGTACGGAGTAGGCTTACAGGAACATTAGGAATAATTTCTGTAATTACTGGGGCAGAAGTAACGTCCATGAAGTGCTATCAAATGAGATTCTCTGGATCTTCTTTGTCATAGCTGCACCACAGCCCTAGAAGGACTGATAGATAAAATTCTGACTTGATAACTCAGGAGCAAAAAAAGAGAAGACCATCTGCTGTAAACAATTAACACTAGCTTCAAAGAAGTTACATGAAAGAACTAATGAGTCAAGGGATAATTCTCACTGTATTCATGAGCTAACTTATTAGAAAGTATAGACGACAGCTTTACCAGCATACAGATATCCATGGGGAGGAACACCTTTCTTCTGCTGCCATGATAGGGAGTTGCCCTCAAACAAGTGACAATGCCTTGTGCTTTTCCAATGTGACTCGCGGCATGATCTGCATGAACATCCTTTATGCCTAGGATTTTGGAAACGAAATAAAGCACAGGATTTCTCTACTCTTTTCAGATGCATGGCAAATCAACAAAACAGTATTAAGAAATCACCTACACATGTAAAAAGAGGTGGTTCCCCTAGGTTTTGTATCTTAAGAATAAGATCTATGAGAGAAAAATTTGGCACAAGGACAAGTTGGCCATTTACCACCAATGGCATTTACCACCAACAAGTTTGGAAACCTCAAGTTTTAAATCAAGGAATTTTCCTCAGACTAGAGCACACCGAGAACACATATGGAATGTTAATCAAGTATCACGGAAAAACATTATAAGCCTTCCATTTCTCTCCACAGTGCAATTGCCATATGACAGCATTTTAAGTATATGCTTAACAAACACTCCCTTCATGGTTTTGCTCTCCCATTCACTGTGACGGCAAACGCATCACTAGGCATACAGAGAAATCAGCCTGGGAAACCCAACCCAATGGATTTATACTATTCTTTTAGGCTGACATGAAGATATATTACTTTTCATTGAGAAGGTATTGTTGTTGGCCCAAATAATTTCCTCTTATTAGACCTTATTAAAACAGAACAAAGTCAGGTGAGGAAAAGGGCCACATAAAGAAAAAAGGAAAAAAAATCTTACAAAAACCTTTGGAAGTGTGACTTTTTCTTATGCTTCAGTACTTTTATTTTTAACATGGGGAAATTTACTGACAAGAAGAGGAGGAGTCGTCAGGTAACTGGCCTTCCAAATTTCAGCAGATGCTGTAGTAAAAACTGTACATGTAGTCAGGTCACCTGCAATTACCAGATTTTTAATTACAGCATTCTCAGGAGGTAACACATTTTTTTAAAGTGTCTGAGTATTTTAGTCTTTACTCCAAAGAAAGATACATATTTCCTTTCTCTGCAATCTTGATTGTACAAGGAAAACAGAAAAGCAAAACTACTTCAATAAATGCTTTCTGAGCTAATTATCAAACTATGACACAGTGAAATCTTGAAGGTATTATCTTGCATAAAGAAGTATAAAATAAGAAGAAACTTACCCAATATTTCTAGTGTTAAGTAAATAAGAGAGCTCTGTGTATTTTCAGCATAAGTTTCCAGTTCCTGGATATTATGGTATGCTTTGTCATCCAAATTCTTTTCCTTCAGTCAAACAAAACGCAAATCAAGTCTGAATTATCAGTGTTTGGTAAAGATGTTTTTTCCCCTCAAGAATGGAATCATATGAATAAAATACTATTCAATATATATTGTTTAGTACAGAATGAAATAGTTCATGTAGCACATAGTCAATACTCACAAATCATCTTTCAAAATAATACTCATGGAATAATCTCAATGTACAAGTTACCTTGAGCACAAGATTGGCTTATTTTTTTCGAAGGCTCAGAGTATCAAAAGAAACTGATTTTACTGAATTCTTAGAACACTTTATACAGTATCTTAACCTTAACAGTAACCCTAGAAGATAAGGAACTAGTATTATTTCCATCTTGTAGACGAGGAAACCCCCAGGTCCCAACATGTCAAGGTCACACAGCTCTAAATGGTAGGATTCAGGTGGACCCATTTGGGATCTACAGCCCATGCTTTTTGTTGTTGTTATTGTTTTGTTTTATTTAAATTTATTAATTTCAGTAAAAATTTACAGAGACTTTGGATTCCCATTCATTCATTCATTGTTGCACTTTTCTCCCCTCCCAACCCTGCCCCTAGTATACTACCCTCTTGGGAAAATAAAAGAAAAATTCTTTCATTGTTTTACAATCCTTCCCCTCAGGTTCACTCTACTATGCAGCCTTCACTCTGAACTTGCGTCATGACAAAAATACCTAATCACATATCACTTTTAAACAGTTTTCTCCCTCATCTGTTTCAATGCAGCATACATTATTTAACCCATCTTTCTCAGTCTCCCCCCAACCCTGATGTTAGTCCAGTTTTAAAACAGTGGCACCATGCAGTATTTGTCCTTTTGTGACTTGAGATATCTCACTCAGCATAATGTCCTACAGGGTCACCCATTTTGAATAATATTGCATGAGTGCCTTGTTTTTCAATGCAGCATAGTATTCCACTGTGTGAATATACCACAGCTTCTCTAGCCATTCATTTATTGATAGGCACTTAGTTTGTTTCCAACTCCTTGCTATTGTGAACAAAGCCGCAATCAACATGGGTGTGCATATATCTGTTTGGATGTCAGTTACAGTGTCTTTGGGGTATATTCCCAGTAGTGCAATTGCTGGCTCAAATGGTATTTCTATTTGCAACTTTTTGAGAAAGCACCATACTGCCTTCCACAGTGGTTGCACCATTTTACATTCCCACCAACAGCGAATAAGGGTTCCAGTTTCTCCACAACCTTGCCAGCATTTGTTGTTTGCTGTTTCGTTAAATTTTGCTATTCTGTCTGGGTGAGATGATATCTCATAGTTGTTTTAAACAGCCCATGCTTTTAATGAGGAAAAGCATGTTGTAGATAAAGGAGAAAAATTATTAAAATTACTTGTTAAAAAAATCTCAAAATCAAATCCACTGCCATCAAATCAAGTCCAATTCATAAGACCCTATTTGGCTGAGTGAAACGATCCCATAGAGTTTCCACGCTGTAAGTCTTCAGGGCATGGCTAGTGGGTTCCTAGCACCGCCTTTTTGGTTAGCAGCCACATGCTTAACTACTGCACCACTAAGAGCTCCTTAGGGGAATAAGTGTCTCTTCCCAAAAGATACCATTCCTACAACGTAACAGGGCTGATTACATGTACACACTATATTAAGCAAAAGGTAAATCTGAGTGCCAGGAATATAGCCACCTTTATTGATATTATTGTCAAAGTGAAGAAAATAAATTAGAAGAAACTGGTACCAGTAGTGCACTTGTGGGGGAGAAAAATTTCATTTTAAACTTTTTTTAAAAATTGAGACATAATTCATAAATCATAATATTAATTTTTTAATTCAGTATATTCACAAAGTTGGGTAACTATCCTTAACTAAATCTACAACATTTTCATCACCTCAAAAAGAAACTTTGTATCCATCCCTCATACTATACCACTCCACTCCTCACCTCCCAATAACCACTAATCTTCTTTATTTCTAGAAATTATCTATTCTAGACATTTCATAAAATGGAATAATATAATAGGTAGCTTCTATGTCAGGCTTCTTTCGCTCAGCACAAAGGTTTCAAAGATGTTCAGCATCATCATTCATCATGGAAAAACAAGATGACACCATGACACAATACTTCCTATCCACAAGGATCTACAAGCATTTACAGCACTACATTCCTGTTGTATGGCTAAATAAAATTCCACTGTACAACTAAATAATGTTTTGTCAATCTATTCACTGAATGTAAACATTTATTTCTACTTTTTAGTTATTATGGATAATGCTCTAAGCATCCATGTACCAGTTTTTGTGTACAGGTATGTTTTAATTTCTCTAGGGCATGTAAGTAGGAGTGAACTGTTGGATAATACGCTTACTATGCTCAAACATAGTTTGAGAACTGCCAGGCAGAATCGCTGTAACATTTGACATCTACACCAGTAGTGTTTGAGGGAACCAATAGCTCCAGATCCTCACCAACACTTGTTACCATCATCTTTGTGACTGTGATATATACCATTGTGAGTTCATTTTGCATTTCTCCAATGACTAATGAGGATGGATTTTTCTTCTTATCCATTGTTGTTGTGTGCCATTGGGTCGGAAGTGACCCACAGCTGACCCTCCAGCAGGTTTTTAGAGGCATTAAATTGCACGGGAGGAGGCCACACATCCTTCTCCAGCAGAGCAACTAGTGGATTCAAACCACATGCCTTTGGGATTGCAGTGCAGCTTTTTACCACATACTATTCTACGTATCTTCTTCAGAGAAATTTTTACTCAGATCCTTGAAATCACAATAATGAAGAAATCTGTATTACTTTTTTAAATATCACAAACATATATGGTTATGTTTTTAAAAAGTTTTTATCTTTTCAAGATACATATGTATGTAAAGTTCAAATAGAATGTCTGGGACTTATTGACAGCTGAAGAGATCACATACGTGTGGCTAACAATTGAAGCTGGACAGTAAGTATGTAAAAGTATATCATTCATTCTACTTTTATATGTTTGAAACTTCTCATTAAAATAAAACAAAACACAGAATGTGTAAGTGCATTTGTATGCCTGCGTGGGTGTATGTGGAGGGCAACTGTAATCAACAGATGGTACGCACAGATGGAGCATAGACAAAACAGCAGAGTTATTTAAGTTTTCTCACTCCAAAATATTACTACTCATATTTCCTTCCTAAAGGACTAGTCTAAGAAATTAAAAAGAAAAAATGAGTACACGATTAACTAACTTACTCTTTCATCAACGATTCTCGTAAGCCATCTTTTAGTCAGATTATGCGTTTTGACAGCCTGAAGAGGGAAAAAAAAGAACACAAACAAAAGGGTGGCATATGTATTTATAACACTTTGAAAAAATCATTTATACAGATCTGAATAAAAAATAAAATACAGAAGTAATACTAATATTTGTTAAATATTATTTTAATTATTCTATTATAATAGATAACTATATAAAGAAATATCAGGGGGGAAAAGATAATGTTCCCAGAAAACATTTTTACATTAAAAATATTATTTATTGTCCAAATGTCCAACCACAAACGAATGGATTGAGAAATTATGGTACATTCACAAGATGGAACACTATGCAGTACAACAGTAACTTTGTTATTACATAACTTGGGAGGGATTGGAGAACATTATACTAAGTGAGCTAACTCAGTCTCATAAAGATAAATATTGTATAAAACCGTTATTGTAGAATGAGTATAAGGATCCAGGAATGTGGGAGAGGCTGGAAGCAGAGGGATGTGGATGTACAGGGGAAAGGGGGGATTAATCACTGGGTTGTACAATTTGATGGGGGGGTGGGGGAAATGCAAAGAATTTGTTCAAACTTGTATTTGAATTTTGTGAATAAACTAGTAGAAAAAATATTATTTGTTGTTGTACTTTATCCATTAATCTCAGGGGTTTTTTTCCCTTATAGTTTTAGTAATTTTGTGATTTTGTTTTGAAAACAGACATAATAACAGTTATAAACCCAACTTTTATACTTCTTCTATGATATCATTATATAACTTATTTCCATAGCATAGAGATTTTTAGAAACTAAGGTTCTCTCAAAATGAAAATAACTGAAAACTATCTGCAAGTAAACTATTACCTTGATAGTCAAAGGAAACTCAGTAGGAAAAAGGCACACTTAGCATTCAAATCTTGGTTTCGAATACCATTCCCCTCTAATGAAACAAGGGAGTTGGGTGGAGTGGTCCACAGCAAGTCGCTGCTAGCCTAAAGATGGCACGTCTCAGGCAGTGCAAAGCCACCAGCTGCTCCATCAGAGAAAGGCAGGCAGTCTCTTCCCTTGTGATTTACTGCCTCTAAAAATTGTTGGGGCGTCGGTTAGGAGTCAGTTCCAGTGAGTTGGGTTTTCTTCCTAAAGAAAAAAAAACTACTTAGGAAAAGGGATGATCCCTGAGCTGGAGGACATGGTTAAGTAAAAGTTGGTGCTACTTGCACACAAGGGAGCTCTGGAGGCCAAAGGCTGAGCGACAGAGGGAGGACGCAGGCAGGGGGTACGGGTGAGGTGACAGCCACAGGGGGGCCTGGCAGTTCCAATCCACCAGCAGCTCCAAGGGAGAAAGAAGGCTGTGTGTGGCCTGGGGGAGAGGTTTCTTCGCCCTCGCTCCAGTCACAGGTGTGAACTTTGGTGGACATGCGGGGCCTGCACACCGCCTCCCGCACTGCTCCATCCACATGAGTCCCAGCAGACACGAACCCCACAATGCACACGCTACCCAAGGTTACTAGAGTGGGAGACAGAGCTGCTTCACAGACCTATCAACAGGGCAGAAGCAGATCTCTTCGAAATAGCATCCAGTGAGGCAAGAAATGACGTGTCTAACTCATCACTGAGCACAGGCTGCTCTGGGGCAGCAGGCCTGGCCCTCTGGGAAGAGGCTGGAATGGCAGGGGCGGGGTCAGGGGTGGGTGGGCAACAGACGGTGGGCACCAAGACCAAGTACGAGGGTCAGCGGCCCCGCGCCTGTCAGGCTGCACTTCTGGGAGGAGGAGGGTGGTCTTTACATCGGATCCGGTGGCTGCTGAGCTGCCAAGCGGGGCTCCTTTGTGGACAGGATGAGGGCCACGATGCGGAGCACCTCGGCGCAGACAAGGATCAGAGTCAAGCCGACGAGGAGTCCCACATGCCAGTGTCCCCCACGCCTCAGGCGCAGGCCGGCGCCCAGCAGGAAGTTCTCCTGGGGGGCCATGTAGTCATTCCCCGGCTTGGTGATGAGAACGGCCACCGCCAGGCTGCAGATGGCAATGCTGCTGGCCACGACCACGGGGAGGATGGACTTCCTGATCAGCTCCGGCCTCTTAACCACCAGGGCTGCGTGGTCTATGCCCTTTGGAAGGTGCCATAGGCTGCACCCAGGGTGCTGAGATTGAGGTTAACAGTTGTTACAGCTCAGCTCCACAATCAACTCTCTTAGCACCAGCGGTCATGAAATAAAAGCCAAACTATTGGGAAAATATGCTATCAGGGACTTCTACAGAGTACTGAAAACAATGATGTCAGTCTAGAGAGTAAGGTGTGCCTAATGCAGGCCATAGTTTTCGCAGTTCCTTGCTATGTATCAGAAAGCTGGAAATGACTAGGGATGGATAATACAAGAACAATCAAAGCTTTTGAGTTGTGGTGCTGGAGAAGAGTCTTAATATGCCATGGTCCACAAAGAAGACAAATAGGTCTGTCTTGGAGAGGGTGAAACCAAGTTTCTCCTTGGAGGCTAGGATTTTAAGCTGTGTCTCACATAGTTGGGCATGTGGCCAGGAGAGACTGGTCACTGGAGCAAGACATCATGCTTGAAGGGTGGATGGACAGTGCAAGAGAGAAGGACCTTGATGACACGGACTAATACAGTAACTGGGGCAATGGGGTTCAAAGCTGTTGTACATATGGTCGCAGAATATAGTGAAAACCGAGGCAGACGTGGGGCAGCCAAAGTCTCAGACATGTCTTCAGGTAGCCGGGGTGAGCTCAGCAGGGCGAGATGGCCCAACTCTGCACTGCGGATAGCAGCAGAGTTGAGGGGATCCATGGCAGGAAAGCAGTCTGGCCACTGCGCTCTAAATACTAGGACCACAGAACAAATGGCTGAAGTTTAATTTTTATAATCACAAGTGTACATGCATATGTATGTGTGGTGAGGGTCTGGGGAGAGAGAAAGTTTGATTTTTGTAATCCTATTATTAAGGACAATTCCTGGCACATAAAGTTATTTAGTAGATATCTGATAAATGAATAGTCAAATTCCTATTCTGAAAGACAGAGTTCTATCGCCTAGTCCATAGGGAGCTGCACTGCTGTCTGACTGATGGTTGGAATCCACCCCTGACTCTGAGGAAGAAAGATGGGCAATCTCCTCTTCCATGATTTACAGTCTTGGAAACCCAGTGGAGGATCAGCTATGAGTTGGTTTGGACTTGACAGTAAAGAGTTTTGTTCTGAAAAGGAAATGTGCATTAGGCCTGTCATAGTCCAATATGCAATCATCTATGACATTCTCAAATAATAGGAAGATTAATGATGAAAGGTATCCATTTTCCTTTTTTCAGTCATATAACATGTAAATCATGCATAATTTTCTATGAATGGTCTATATAGCTAAATTAACATAAAACTGTTTCCCACATGTACAATTCTTAAAAATAAAAACAAAACACTAACAAACCAATAAAAACAACTCTGGTATACAGGTTTCCATTTTTTTAATACCCAAAACTGATCAAAAAGTAGGAATTCCATCAAACCATATGAGGGAATCTGAAAAGATGAATACATGTTGTTCTAAGAATCCACAGTCTGAACTAACACACTGGTAGAAAGGAGTTGTTGCTGTGCAGATAGAACAGAAAATTTACTTGGCATTGCATCAAAACTTGAAGGTTTAAATTCTGTATCCAAATGTGAAGAAAAGAAATAATTTCTAATACAAAAAGACTAGATTCCTCTCCTTTCCCCTTTAGCAAAGAAATGCACCAAAGACTTGCTCAGATTACCAATGGATGGATTTTAATTTCCCCATCAAAACTCACATAGCTCTGAACATTACATGAATTTAAGAGTAATTTCAGGATAGCTTCCTTATCGCTAGTATCCCACTTATAGCCATTAAACAGTATGCTGAAGGCACATTCTTACAAATTAAAAATAGTCATTTTTCTGTTTACCTTCCACAATTCAATGGCCACAGGCTGCTGTGGAGGGTTGTCACGGTAAATGTCTTCCACAGTGTTTTTCCAAAACTGCATTCGCATCAGTCCAATTGTTTTCTCAGAGATTGAATCCTTAACCTGTAAACAGTTTAAAAAAAGGTAATAAGTGCACTCTTCACAGTCTCCTGTTGTGTCTCTGCACAGTCTTAAACTTTCAGCCAAAAACTATGTTTAGTTTAACAGATTTGGTTTGATTTTTCCTCCCGTTATATCAGTTAAATAATTATCGCCACTATTACTCCCAAGGAAAAGCTGCAAATTACTTGGTGCTGAGTTACAAGTATTTCTAAGATTTACATTCAAAGTAGGAGGAATTAGCCTATAAACAAACTGGGGGTGGGGAGAGAAACAGAAGGAAAATATTTGGATTAGAAGAGATTTAAGAGCTATGCCAAGCTGTCATAACACTGACTTTATTGGAATTGTATTTCGAACAAACTGTTAAAACTAGAAAGAGCTAAAGAGAGACATACACGATTGGGAAAATCAGAACACCAGGTATTAATAATATTAGGGGATGACTGTTAATTTTTCAACATCTTTTGATTATGTGGGAGTTATCCTTTAGAGCACATACAAAAATATTTACAAATGGGAAAATGTATCATTTACTTCAAAATAACTTGAGGACGAGGGTGGGTTGACAAGAGAGAGAGATAAAATAAGACTGCCAAATTATTAACAGTTGAGGCAGAGTAATGGATATTTGGATTTCTCTATTTTTTTATACATAATTGAAATTCTCCATAATAAAAACATTTAAAAAAATAAGTGAAAGATTAAAAAAAAAATCCTTAAGATACTGACTGCCAATGTATTTTCAAGTCTGAAAACAAAACTAGAAAACAGAGCCAGAGATTGTTTAGAAGAAACAAGGAACTAACCATTTATCAACTTTTCCCCAAACTGATGACAGTACTGTGGCACACTTAATGTTTTTAGGGACAAAGACTATGCCTTCAGTAAGAAAACCAAAATTATTTCTTTAAAAAGTATGTGTGTGCACATATATACAGAATGAATTGTAAAGCAGCAAAGCAAAATAATAACAGGAATGGTAAGCAGTGTGTATATATATATATATATATATCTGTAAAAGGAGAAATAATGTGGGTGTGGCTGAGTCTTCTACAATTAATTTTATAAAGGAGAACTGTATCAATAGCATCTAGTATATAAAACTGATCCCTTGCTATGACATAGTCCCCCACACCCTTGCACCTATCCCTATTTCTACTAATCACAGGGTATGATATACATTACAAATTGGCTCAGAGTTGGGGGGTTATTAAGGCATCAAGTGATGTCAAAGAACATAGATTAAGTCCAGGTTCAGTCCAGCAAAACAAACAACCCTTTGGTTTCCTCAACTGTCCTGTGAGCTTCATCTCATAGTAGTTCCAAGTCAGCTCTTCTGACTCCATCTTCAGGACTCCGTTAGGCTATGCCTCACCATAGACTCTCCACAAGTGTGGCAGCTCACTTTCTTATGTTGGTCCCACAGCTGTTGATAATGTAGATGGTGATGAGCAAACGGAACCATGGGCCCACAGCTGGGGTAGCTGGAGACCATGCCACCAAAGGGATAAAGAAATGGCTACAAAAGCCATTCTTAAGAGTCATAATACCACAATATTGTTACTTTGGTAATCATATCACAATGGTGTTTGGTCCATTTTCAATAAACTGTCAAGAATAACTCTTTTCAGATACACCCAGAAATGATGCCCTGATCTGTTCAAAACCTTCCAATGACTTAGAGTAAAAGCCATAGTATATGTACTAGTCTCTAAAACTTGACCTGACTCACTGCTACCTCTAGCCCAGGCTCCCAGCATCTCCCTCTGCTGCAGTCACAATGGCCTTCTGTTCTTTGACATCACTTGAACCTCAGTCTGTCCTGTTGACCCAATGGTGGCATCTCTCTGGCAATTCAAATTCATGAGCAACTCTGCAGGAGAAAGATGGACAATCTCCTCCCATTGAGGAGATATATGGTCTCAGAAAATCTACTGGAGAGTCAACTATAGTAGTTTCCAACTCAACAGCAATGAATCAAGGGACCCCACTAAAATACCCTCCCCTTTCTATCTCCTTATCCTGCTTTCTTTTTCTACACAATACTTTCTGATACAGTACACAGGTAATATGTTTATTTGGTCCTTAAGTGCAGTGACTTTGTACATTTGATTCAATAGTACATCCTCAGGACCTAAAACAATACCTAACACATTTTAGACACACAATCATTACTTGTTGAATGTGTGTGCAAAGATGTGGCAAGATATTTTTACAATGACTGAGAATTCTGGGGGAAATCTTAAGTTCTACTTATTAAAAACAGACTTTTAGTCATTTACAGAATTGTCTATAGGAAATAAAAAATAATTCAATGTAGTAACTCTTTATAGCTATATTGACTTAATATGTTACAACAGAGTTTACAAGTAAAAAAGGATAAAATTGTATATCTCCATCTTGGGACAGGGTTCACATATGTTCTTCATAGGGTGACTATGAGTTGTACAGCACCTAACAACAACATAACCAATGTTGCTGAGTTGTACATGTAAAAGCACTGAAGAGTTGTATGTTTTACTGTGTATATTTTTAGCAAAAGAAAAGTTAATCTTCATCCAAACTTACTGGAGGCCTGAAGGAAAACAACATAACTGGAAGGAGTAAGGGACTCTGCAACACTGAGCTAAGCTATGAGGCTGAAGGTCAAAGGACCCAAGACCCCGCCTGAGAAGCTCTCTGAACTGAGGGATTGTGTCCCGCTGCCAACCTGAATTACAGCCTATTCTCCAATAAACTCTGTAACAATGAATATGATTCTGCACAGTCTGTGTAATCATTGCAATGAATTCCGGACCCAGCAGAATAGTAAGATTGGTGTTAGAACTACTAGAAAGTAGTGCAGGAGCACACGGGGCATGTTTGACAATATGGGAATTAGTTTGCTACTATGAATGTTGCTGATGAGAATTAGCTCCCCTTTGTGGGGTTAACAGAAGCAAGACTCAGTCATCCTCTTGCCACCTTGCTCATTTGACTAGTATACTTACTTTGGAAGACAGGTTGGTAGTTTCTTACACAACCAAACATAAGATCCAGCAATGCCGTCCTTAGGTATTTATCCAAATGAATTGAAAACATGTCCACACACAGCAGCTCAATCAAGAGCTGCTAAGATTTAAAGTAACCATGTCACTCAGTGTTGTTTTGGGGTGTTACTGAGTTGTTCCCAGCTCATAGCAACTGTAGGTATAACAGAAAAATCAGGCTTGTTCTGGTGCCATCCTCACAACTGGTGCTATACTTGAGCCTACTGTTACAGCTACTACATGAGAGGGAAGATCATTGCATTGAGGATGTTCTTTTTCACTGACCTTCCACTTTACCAAGCATGTCCTTCTCCAGGGACTAGTCTCTTTGGATAATATGTCCAAAGTGTCAGAGTCTCATCATCCTTACTTCCAAAGAGCATTCTGACTGCACTTCTTCCAAGACAGAATTGTTCTTTTGTTGCCTCACTATATATTATTCTTCTCCAACATCATAATTCAAAGGCTTCAATTATGCTTTGGTCTTCTGTTCATTGTCCAGCTTCTACCTGCATATGAGGCAACTGAATCATGGCTTGGGTCAGGTACAGTTTAGTCGTCAAAGTGTTATATTTCCTCTTTCTTCAATACTTCATTTAACATCTCAATAGGTGACTGGAAAAACACTGTAGGTATATCCATACAATGAAATGCTATTATTGTTGCTATTGTTAGGTGCCATAGAGTTGACTAGGACTCACAGCAACTTGGTGACCAAAAAGATTGGAACCTTGCCCCATCCTGTGCCATCCTCACAATCTCTGACATGCTTGAGCCCACTGTAATAGTTACTGTGTCAATGAAGTATTAAATAGAGATAAAAAGAAACAAACTATCAAATCAAGATGAAAAGGCACAAAGGAACCTGAACTGTAGACGTAAGCCTAAGAAGTCTATCTGAAAATGCTACATAATGACTCCAACTATGACATTCTAGGAAAAGTAAAACAATAGAGACAGTAAGAATACTAGGGGTTGCCAAGGATTTTTAAGGGGAAGAGGGTAGGGAAAATGTGAATAGATGGGATACAGAGGATTTTTAGGAGAATTAATCTATTTTGCATGCCACTTTTAGTAGTGGATACATGACATCATGCATATAGCATAAACTAACACAAAGAATGAATTCTAATGGGAACTATACACTTTAGTTAACCTGGTTCAACAATCATAACAATTGCATTAAAACAAGCTGCTGCTAATACACAAACTGTATTGGGAATCTATACTTTCTGCTAACTTTTTCTGTAAAACTAAAATTGCACTAAAAAAAATTTTTTTTTAAATTTAGGTTGTTTATTTTTCATTTCAATGAACATCTACAGAGATTTTGGGATTCCATTCATTCA